TCAGGTAGTCAGAAACATTCAGTGTTCTGGCTGTCATCTCTTCCGTTTCTTCCTGGCTCTCTGAGTCTCTACCTTTGTCTTTTCCTTTCTCTCTCTCTCTCATGTACCTCTGTGTGATATTCTGAATACACTGCTGTCTTCAAATATTCTCCTTTCTTTCCTCGTATGAGCAGGCATGTGGGAAAAATACAATTAGCGATCTTTCTGGAGCAGGCTCGCCCTTCCAACAGTCCATCATGCTCGGGACACTGTACTCCTCCCATTATTTAATCTGTTGTTGTGTGATGGGCTGAACCAGAGGAGATTTTCGACAATGATAATGCTCAGTTCACCATTTCGAGGTGGAAATTGGAGAGCTTGCACCAGCTGGCATCTTAATCTGCTTTTATGAAAGAGGTGAATAGAATTTCACCCTCACATTTTATCCCACTGCCTCTCTCTCTCCTTTCTATCCGGGTTTTCTTTTCTGCTTCTGCTGTGAAATAAAACATTTACGTACTCCATGAATAAAGAAATCTCTGCTGAAGACGTGACAAATTCTCCTCAGACAGGACAGTTGATGGAAAATAAGAGCGATGACTTTCCACCATTCAATCTGCAAATGTGATCTGTTCTCCAAATGAACAATTTGTGAGAAGAGCCTGATCCAGTTGTCCTCACCTAATCAAATAGAAAATCATAAACTTTTTGGCAGCTACAGAAAGGCCTTAGAGAACGAACAAGTAAATAAATTATTGAAAAAAATAAGCTACCTTGAGGAACAGTTAACTGCACATGTAACACTAAAATAGGGGGAATAAAACAAGGAAAAGCAACAGCAATCATTACAATTAAATAGACAGTGAGAGGAAATGTGAATATTTTAACTGTGTGTGTGTGTGTGTGTGTGGGGGGGGGTGTGTGTGTGGGTGTGTGTGTTTGTGTGTGTGTGTTTGTGAGAGGTAGAGAGGCATGAAGAGTGCAGCTTAAGTGGCTGAAGTAGACATGATACTTCAACAGTAAAGTTCAGTTAATTTAAAATACATTAAAGTGATCCTAGTAGGGGGAAAACACACACACACACACACACACACACACACACACACACACACACACACACACACACACACACACACACACACACACACACACACACACACACATTTCATCACCACTTCCATGTTATTGGTTTGTTTCTGTTGCTGGTAGTGACAAATCCAGGAGACGAATAAAAATAAAAAAATATACCCAATATCTCAGATAGAGATATTGGGTATATTTAAACTGTGTATTATTATTATTTATATAGATTTTTATATTGGTTCTGCTCTGTTCTCTGTACTGCTGTAACAATGTAAATTTCCCCACTGCAGGATTAATAAAGGAATATCTTATCTTATCTTATCTTATCTTGTGTTTGGATCAATTGACTTTCTGAGGCATGTATGAATTACTAAAATCACTAACACATCCTGCTGATTAACTAAAACGATCACATCTCCTTCCTGCAGGGAGCCGTCGGTTCTTACTGCCAGTAAATCCCAGGTGGTTGTGACAGACAGCTCCTCACACTGATCCCCCTTCTGGAGGTTTCCTTCAGTTAAAAGGGAAACTTTCTTTTCCACCATCGCCACATGCAGAAACCAACATCCCTAAAGTGCACAGTGATTCCTAAATGAGCTGGAGCTTCATATTGACGTGTAAACTGCAAACTGACAATATCCAAGTCTTTCCATTACAAGGATTCCAGGAAGCACCAACAAGCTCCTGAGGATTTACCCACAGATGATCATTGTTTATGTAAAAGAGGCACTCAACCAATGAAACACAAAGCATACACACACTTCCCCTTACACACACTCTTTCCATTTGTTCTTGCCCTTGTTTGGAAAGACTTTTCAAGTCTCTGAAGATGTTGTCTAATTGAGGTTCAGTCCATTGTTAATAATTCAAACCCCCCACAGATCGCTGTGTTAAAACATTGGAAACAAACCAGAAATATGAAGTTTATCTAAGCAAAAGAGTTTTTTTTTTTTTTACTTTATAAATATACTAGTTATGCTCACCAAAAAAAGTTGGTGGGGGAATAATCCACCAACTAAAGAAAGATGTCAATGCTGAGCAAAACAACATTATTATGTAAAGAAAAATATTTTTAACTGAAAACATTAAGAATATTGTATTGATACAAAGGGAGAAGAATTGCATAGTTTTACTCAGGATGAGAATTTCAAAAGTTTGCACACAGAGTATGACTTATTTTTAAATAAACAATTTTTTAAAGTTAAAATGAAAAGATAGACTTTTACGGAAGAGGAATGGGGCCACTGGAAAAAACAAATAAAACAGTTCTGACTTTAATCTGACTTTAATCTGACTTTAATCTGACTTTAATCTCAGAATTCTGAGATTAAAGTCAGAATTCTGAGCCACAGCAGTAAAACCAAAATATGAATCTTCCAGTCCAGCACCCGAAAACTTTGGGCTCATCATGTTTTTAGGTGGAAGAATGCAAATAGAGGCAATGTGGGAGGATTATTTAATAAAACATGGTTATATTCCCTTATCACTGAATTGCAAAGCATATGAGCAACAGAGTAAATAAATTAGACTGTCATAATGTGGATTTGAATCCATCACTTTGAACAGCACACTCTGTCCCAATCAGAAGTTGGTAACAACATTACTATGTTTCCAAACCCCATGTGACTTACTGGCAGGTCATCATCATCATCATCATCATCATCATCATCATCATCATCATCATCATCATCGTCATCGTCATCATCGCACTCATAATTACAAAATAAAGTTCACCCACCAAACTGCATCAAAAAGGGAATGTATACATCCAGGAGTTGCATATAAAGAAACAGATTCTGAAGACATCCATCTTTCACTTGTCACACCAAACTCCTCCAATCTGGAACTTTATTCATTCCATTTCCATAGAGATGAGCTGTGAATTACTTTCCACCGCTCTTCCAATCTGAAGCTAATGAATGCAGATGGAAAAGATGTTGATGCCATCTAAACAAACAACATCCAGCACCTGCACATCAAGCTGAAAGTCTGTCCTCTCCTGGACTGAAATAGAAAACATGATTTAAATATTCATATTTTGTCAGAGGAGTGCATGAATAACCAAATTATTAATCTGTCCTATTTATTTCCCTTTCTCCACTCTACTGTGGAGGGTTAAGAGCACAGACAGGAGCAAGCAGCCTGCTTAACGTTAAGTGGTGTAATTTGTTATCTGTGGGTGTTGATAAATTAGTGTTCCCTGTTGCAGTGATGCTTCCTATTAGTCATGATCTGAGAAATGTTTTATTTCTATGATTACCTCTTTGCTCAGTCACTGGAGAGGAGGAATGAGTCTACAAGGCTAATTCACAAATCTGACATTTTTTATATACAGTTTTTGCTGTAGATTTTTCAAGGACAACAAAATTCAGTTTTACCTAAAGTAATTTAAAATCAAGAAAAGAAACAATTATTGAATCATTCCTGCTTCATGGTCAGGGAACTAAGTTATATTGAATAGATTTTGCTGTCAAAACTTTCATTTCCAGTTAATCCTCTGTTTAAATGGAGTAGAGCACTCATTAACTTCTGCAGAATACTGAACAACGTACCATTCACTTGTTCTGTCTTAATGTTCACCAAGGATCATTCCAGTAAACATTCTCATTAAAAAGAAGTCAATTAAGAACTGCATAAAGCAAGTATAGCTGAATTTCCCAACACCTTTGTGATAAACTTTTCATAGAAAAAAGAAAAAAAAAAACATTTAAAGTATTCAGAAAAACTTTTAACTCAGGATGTCACTTGAATAGTGACGATGCTAGAAGGTAACAGCCTGTATATATTTAAAATGACCTAATCTGAACTAAAGAAAGTATTCTTTCCACTGAACGTGGAAATAAAAATCCACAAAACATAAATGGGCCAAAGTTAGTTTAACATGTATGGAGGATTTTGCCTAAATTGTCAATAAATATTAAAGTTTGGGTGACATTATATTGGTAAAATACAAAAACTTCAAAATGTTTCTTTGAACTGTTTGATTTTAGCACAAGTTAAAATCTCTGTAAAAAAAATTAGATTTTTCAGATCATAGATTTCATGTTGACTTTTAAATGACAGACTTAACTAATGTATATTCATACTAAGCATGGTTCTGGAATCAAAACGTCTTTATGACTCTATTTTAAGATTAAAGCAAAGCACTTCACTTTCTCCACTGCAGCCAAAGTAGTAAATATAATTTCAAAAATGCTGCACAAGAGTCCCTGATAAGCCATAAATACTTCCTCACATTATTCCTGTTTGAGCACTTTGTTGAAATTACAATTACAACAAAAATTACAATTTTTCAAGTAAAATTTCTATTTTCTTATAAAAACATTTTACAAATATGACATGAAGGTCACCTTTCTGGAACTGGTTTCGATAATGGTAATAGTCATTTAAGTTTAAGTATTTGTCTTCAGCGCCAACATCCATTTACCAATTTATCTTACTGACATTTTTTACTTAAAACTGGAGCTACAGCAGTAGGAGAATCACTGGCTGTGGCAGCAAAGCCTTCATAACAAGATAGGAAAAAAAAGAGTGGTTGTGTTGAAAAAGAGGAAGTTAAGGTTTTCAACATTTCACCTTTATTGTATTTTATATACCTCTGCAGTGACATCACATTGCATTGTTTTTGAAACACTTTAACAACCTAAGATAACATTTGGCTGGAACAGGCTTTACTTGGCTTTGCAAGTCTGTTACTTTGCCATGGCAGCAAATATTTTTGCCTAAAGAGCAGCTAACGTGCATCTTACAAATTAAAAGGAGCATAAGCCTATCAGCATCTGCTGAACTGGTACATTTCACAGTAACAATGGTGTTTGGATCAAGATAAAGTAAGTTTTGAGCTTGATGCTAAACCATCTGCACAGTGGCAGACAAGATTTATTTAAAAATCTGATGGGATCAGACATCCAATGAAAAATATCCTGAATCCATCTTACCTGTGTATGATGTGCTTGCTGCGAAGGTAACCCAAAGCCAAGGCCAGCTCACAGATGTACAGCTTCACTGTGCTTTCTGAAAAGTGGACGTTCTGCTGAAGGTGATACCGCAAGTCTCCCCCCAGGAGCAGGTCCACCACCATAAACATGTCCTCTTCATCCTGAAATGAATACCTGTGATGGAACAAAAGCATGGGTCAAGCAAGATAAGATCAGATAACTGTTATGAGCAAATAACGTGTAAACAGAAGCCTAAGGGGAAAAGCACAGTAGATGAATGTACAGAAACAACATCAATACATCTCAGTAAATTAGAATATCCTGAAAGATTTCACTTTTTCCAGCGACTTAATCCAAGAACTGAAACGTGTGTGTTATCTAGACATAAAAGGAAAATGTAAATATTTCATAAGATGGAAAAAAAAACATTTTAAAACAGACATCTGGTGTTATAGGGGGAAGACTGCTAACACCAGCAGATATTCACTGACACTCCCAACAAGAAGGGTAAACCACTTACTGGTGAAACACAGAGTGCTGTAGGGGAAGTTATGTGGAAGGAAAAAGTTATAGAAAAAGGTGCACAACAAAGAGGGAGTGGACTGAGGTTGAAGTCATTGGTCCAAAATCCACAAAAAGGCACATCAGTGTTGGTATTTTGACCTGCTCAAGTATATTCACATTTTTCAGATGAACCTGTATTCCACATCCTTCCACTTTGCAGAAAGTTTTTATCTTTAGTTCAAGAATTCTGCAAAGTTAACTTCCAGAGGAAAACTAGTTTTATGTTAGTATTCAGTATTTGAGCTACTGAATCAAATCAGCCAATAGGAACGAACATGAATGGTTTGACAAAACAAACAGTTGAGTTTACCCTATAACCTGTAAAACCACAAACCTCAGACTTCAGAGCTGACCATGGGAATAGCTCTAAGAGCTTTTGTAAGAACCATACAGATAAAATAGCAAGTTAGGAACAAGCCAACAACGACTTAAATAGCCTAGAAATGTATATATAGAGCGACAGATCCATATATATTAAATATATCTCTAACAACCTAATAGGAGACACATGAGCTCCCTTTCTCTTCTCTAATCCTAATGGTTTAACCTTATTTGAAGGCCGCCGCTTATCCTTAAAAATCTGCCATTTTATGTCAGGATTAAAATGTTCCAATTTTATGGTAATTCAAAACAACATCACCACTTTCTTTCTAAATTGAAAGCACAATCATCTTTGTGTTTCTCGAGTTTTAAAAGTCAAACGAGGAAAGAGGGTAAAAAAAACAAAAACAATCTCCTTTGTGATCACATCTGTGATCAAAAGATAATCTTTAATTCTGCTGAATTGTTTTTTAATGTTCGGACACCCAGTCTGTGAAATGTATGTGGTTAGAAGGATTTTGTGAATAGCAACATTTCTATTCAGAGCAACCATCATTTTTTACAACCCCAATTCCAATGATGTTTGGACATTGTGAACATAAATAAGAAAAGAATATAAGGATTTACACATCAGTATTATATTCAATTGAATAACTACAAAGACACGATATTTAACGTTCAAGTGGCTAAACTTTAGTTTTACAAATATTCACATTCCAAAACAGTTGACAGGAGCGTGTTTACAACTGTGTTACGTCACCTTTCCTCTAAACATCAGTGAACAAGACTTCAGGAACTAGTTACCATGATGGCAGAAAGAACAATAGAAATTGAGAGTTAAAAAAACAAACAATTGTGTTCAGACAAAAAAAAAAAAAACACATTAAATGTACTGCCTCCCCTTGCAGATCCATCAATATATCCACTGTATTCAGTCCACAGAGGTTAAGGTTGGCAAAAAAAAACATAATCTTGGCTCAAACTCATGTCTCGGTAACCAAGGATGAGTTTTTTTGCCACGTTGGTAAACACCACCCCCTCTGGGAGATTTGCAAATAAAGTGTATGTGGTGCTTTTCTGCACTGGGTGGATGGATGGGAATTGATTGAGCTGACTCCAAACTGTCTGGTAAGGCTCAGATAATGCTGAGACAACGTAACATTTGATTGCCGTTGGCCTCTGAATGTGGAAAGACTATCTGCGAGATGCCTTCTGAGAGGAAGCACACGCATTTAACAAATGAGCACACACACACGCCTGCAGCATTGTGTGTTTTCCCTCCAATTTGTCTAAGTTAAACATCATGATGCTTTGATGCATCATGAGATTTTTAACTATTGTTCCTGCAGCTGTATTTACAACAGACACATTTTAAATACACTTTTTTCCAGTCAACATTAAATCAGACATAACTTCTTACACTTTTATTGATTTGATGCAATTTCCTAATCTTAAATGTCACATTTTAAGATTAACTGTCATAATTAACTGTCATGTTGTGTGTTGGTGATGGACCCAAATGCAGCAGGCTGAGACATTAAGTTGATTTTGAAAATAAAAAAAATCAATTACTTAAAAAATGAAAAACCAAAAACTTAAAAAGAAAAGAACATGGAGTACACAGGGAGCCAGAGCAGAACAAAAGTAACAGCAACAACAGTGAGGTAATGGGATTAGACAGGATTTAACGGGAGGAATCAGCAAGGAGTGACTGAGTGTTCCAACATCCGCAAACGGCAACTGCTATCACAACTTGAGATTGACGAGGTACAACACAAATGCTACGGCAAGGGGGAGGATGTCAGGACAGGGGGGAGTTAACTACAACTACCCGCCCAGAGACTGGGTATGTAGCCCCAGTAATGAACGAACCATCAAAGCTGAACGAGGCACTATCCTGATCCAGAAGGATCCCTCAGAAAAAGGTTCAGTCCCATCCAACTATCGGCCAATAACCTGTCTCTCTACATGGAAGCTCATATCAGGCATCATAGCGGCTAAGATAAGCGGACACATGGATAAATGGGGAACAGAGGACGAGGTACTGGAGGAACCATCATGAAAGCATCATATCAGGAAATCCTACCAATGGCTGGAAAAAGCTGGACACAAGGACAGCACAGAGCCCTCATCCTGGCCGCCCAGGAACAGGCCCTAAACACCAGAGCAATAGAGGCTCATTGTGATAAAGAATCACAATGTGGTTCTTTATCCACCACCACATTGTGGTGGTGGATAAAGAACAGAGGAAAGCCGTTGTGGTGGATGTAGCAATACCAAGTGACCACAACATCAGGAAAAAGGAGAAACTGGAGAAATACCAGGGCCTCAGAGAGGAACTGGAGAAGGCCTGGAAGGTGAAGACCACAGTGGTGCCTGTGGTCATCGGGGGCCTCGGGGCAGTCACCCCCAAACTGGAGCAGTGGCTACAACAGATCCCAGGAACAACATCAAACATCTCAGTCCAGAAATGTGCAGTTCTAGGCACAGCCAAGATACTGGAGGAGAACCTGAAGCTCCCAGGCCTCTGGTAGAGGACCCGAGCTCAGAGGATGAGACCACCCGCGGAGGGTGAGAAGGGTATATATAAAAAAA